GGCAATGTTCCAAGGGGCGGGTTCCGCGGTTTCCTCAGCCCGGATTTTATCTAAACCACAAGAGAACCGTCCAGCGTTACGCTGCAATTCAGACGAGTGCCCCAATTGGCTGGGACGCGGAGAAAAGCATTATTTAAATGAACACAGAATGCCAAACCAAAAGCAAGCAAAGCTCAGCACCGCAGCACGGAAAGGCAGCGCTCTGACAAGGCGCACAGCATGAGCAAACGAGACCGACACACATGAAGTAGTCGTGTGAACTTGTGGAAAATGCGGCCTTCCTTGCATCTAAGTGCTGGGCCAGAGTTCCATCTCTCACATTGATTTCAATTGTAACTACATTAGCCTGTAATATGTATTTGGAATTTATGGAATTTTAACATTGTATTTCATTTGTGGCATGAGAATTTAGTTTAAAAAAAATCACCACTTGGATATTATTTTCAAAGTGTCAGAGGGGCAGCTGTGCTGGTCTGTAACTGAAAACACTTCAGAGCGAGTAGTCCTGAAGCACCACACACGCCAACCAAACACGTAGATGGTATCATGAGCTGTTGTGGGCAGATGAAAAGTGGGCTGTGCCCACAAAAGCTCATGATCCCATCGACATGTTTTGCTAGTCTAAGGTGCTAGAGGACCATTCGTTATTTAAGTTACTTGTACATTGGTGACCCCTTTCATATTTAACACTATTGTGAAGCTGGAGCTGAAGCAGGGCTGGAGGGTGGAGGCTGACAACTTGCAATCCCCACGCAATAACTGCACTGCCCCCCAAGGCATTATGACCCACAGTTTGAGAACCCCCCTTTTAAGGAGATATGTCAGTGACCCAAAAGGGACAAGCTCCAAAGCCGAACAGGATTGGTAATGAGCGTGTGTCTTTCAGAGATTCAAAAAAGACACCCCAGCGTGGCAGGCACTGAAAATTGTTGACATTTACAGCCTTCAGCAGTAGTGGTGAGCTCACGTCACTTACTGCTAAGAAAACATGTACACAAGACCACCTTAACTGAGACCAGGGTTACTCAACTTTGGCCACACTGATACTCACAGCACTCACTGAGGGCCGCAACTCACATGCAAATCTATATGTGAATAGCTTTTCACACTGACAGGCATGAATACAAAGATTAAGGCAAGACTACACAACACGCAGGCCCCATTTAAGTCAGTTCTACTGATATTAATAAAATTCCATATTTACCCAATTTCCACCAATAGGACAGCACTTTTAGTGAGCAATGACAGTCCAGGAATTTAACTACTAAAATGCATCGCAACAGAAGACCATTCTATGGACTAGTTTGTTTCGGCTGCGTGTTGAGCCTCGCGTAAACCCAAACCATACCGTAGGCTGCGAACAAATGGGCTGCAGGCCATATGTGGCCCGTGGGCTGCGTGTTGAGTAGTCCTGACAGACCTTCATGAACAGCCTCAAGCAGAGACTGAACAGACATGGCCCATTTCCATTGGTAAGAAAATTAGCTCTTGATCTTCAGTCTCAATCTCTGCTGCCAGATTTGTGGCACACTGAGGGGAACCAAAAGAAAATGTGTATTGTTACTACTGCTAATATTCTTCCAAGAAGAGAGATGGGTTGGAAGGATTAGCTTTTTAATTTGTACAGGTCAGTAGACATCAATTTCATTATATACACATAAGCCCACGAAAAAGCGTTTTCTTCAGTAAAAAATTAACAGATAGGCAAAAAAAGAAATGCTGCTTGAGAAGTTACCAGCCTTTGATTGAAGGCTATTTACTTGGTACAGTACTCTGACACAGGATCACCACCATTTGTGTTTTAACAGTTCTAAGGCTTTAGCTTTTTAAATCTCAATGTCTATAGTCTGACCTCCCCGTAATTTCCCACAGCTCTGAAAAACGTAAAGTCCACCAAAAATGTTAAGTGTTTTAAACATTGATATTATCTGTTAGCTATAAAAAAAGAATTCTGCAAACCTAAATACAGAAGACACTCCAGGGTTCAAAAGACATCAGTCTAGCACTCTTCATAAGCACTAAATTCATTTAAGAAAATGATATACTAAGGAACAGATACCATTCAGTAGCCCTTTCCCAGCTAGCAAGCGACTGAAAATGCAAAGTAGTGAGTAGTTTCGGTGATGATTAAATATATAGCCCAACACAGACCAGGAAGAAACTCTCTCGAGTCTCCAAAAGTTTCATTTCAATTCAGATTTTATTTCAAAACATTCATGAACTTAATAAATTACACAATTTTTTCCCTTTATAAATTCTTCATAAAATATATTTTACAATTTTAAAGAAAGATTAGAAAGCTTTTTCTTTCTGAAGTGCTGATGAATATCTTGACCTTTGTGTCATGCTGGTGAATTATTTTGTAGCTGCTACAATAGTTCAATTTATCAAAGGTTTTACAACAAAGAGCCAAAAAAAAGACCCAGACGAACAAAATCACAGACCTCAAGAACTATCATTCAGTGTTAACCAATGAAACAGCTTCACCACCACCACAAGGCTAAGCACCATATGAGGGTCTTATAGGGACCCCCAGCCTTTAAAGTGGCCATCAGTGCAAAGAAGCTTTGTGAAATCAACAGTTCTACTATATGAGCTATTAACTATTGCTTTAAATTAATTTCTCAACTGAAGTTAAGAAGCAGGTTGACTGTTGTCCTCTGAAGACTTTCAAAGGGTATTAACTTGATTCACAAAGAAGGTAAGTGCTAAATATTACTCCAAGACAAACTAACATGTTAGGGTACATATTAGTGGATAGAGTAGTATCCCTGCATTGGCATGCTGATATTTTTTAAGTCTCAGTTTGTAGTTGTAGCAGGGAATGATCTTTTGCCTTGCATAACCATCAAAAATGGATCAGCTTTTCAAAGTTGGAATGCTATTACTACTTTGTACAGTACGGTGTCACAGTTTTATCTTCAAAGGCAAGCTGGGCTTTTGGTGTACTGATTCACCTCACAAAACATTGACAAAATGAACAGATGACTTTCAATAAGTTCCATATATTAATAGTTTAAACTCCAACTTTATCTTTATAGACAAAGTCAAATGCAAGACAGTGACATCACTATACCATCAAGATGACCAGGGGCAATTTTCGGCCAGTGTAAGTCAGAAAAGCACCCTTAAAATGTATGCAATTTTTTTTTAAACCAGCCAAGGTTCTGGCGCAACATGATACACCAACATCAACACAACAGTACATCTTTTCCTGAAATCTACTGCCACCTTGCACTTCTATAGCATCTCCAGGGATTTCCAAATACTTTAGAATCAATAAGCCACACAATACACCTTTGAGACATGGAAATGTACTCATAGTAACTCAAGTAACTTGCATACGGTGACAAAACAAGTCCAAAATAAAATCCAGGGTTCCTTGTTGCCTGCTAATCCACTACACCATGAGAGGACAGAAGAGAGTTAGCTCTTACAAATCTAGTAAAGTGACCAATAACCCTATTATATGGTCCGTTCAGTTGTTTTAGGAAGGACAAACTACATTTCTCTTATGTGGTAAGTGTTTACTTTCTTCATTCATAGGGACAATAAACACCGAATGGTCAGTTTCACTTTCTGAGGTTCCCATAGCAGTACTAGGGTGCAGTGTTTGGATTGCAAACACTCCAGGGGAATGTTCAAACCCAAACAAGAAGCATTTTTCATTTTGAAAGTTTTATGAACTTGGTTTTGTAAAATCATTGTTTAAAAGCCCAATGAAACTAAGATTTTACTCACTCATTAGACAGGGCATTTGTATGAGGAAATTTAGTCTCAGGTCTCATCCCCCCAGTTATGATCAACTTAAAGGGTAAGCAAGTAAGATCATGCACCTGAGGTAGAGAGTGTTCGGAACACTACTGCAAAGTTGTTTCAGAATGGACTCTTTGTGAAGTTCTCCATTAACATATGAATCATTTTTGTGGTGACAGATAAAACGCCTTGTACTATTTCAAAATGCCTTGTACTATTTCAAAACTTTGAAATTTACCATCCAGGACTAAAGATGAAATCAATTTAAAAAATTAAAAACAATTTAATATGTAGCAAAACAATCCAAGGATTGGTTAAAGTTTTCCCACAATAAAAGTTCAACTGAAGGGGTGATAGTTCATTCACACTGATTTTATGAGTTCCCTCCTACATTTGAAAATGAAAATGCTCAACATTTAATATAACCATCCCTTAATTACCACAGCACTAAACAGATCTGGGTAACAAAGGGCAAGAGAAACACATTGTTTGAGAAGAGTCTTAGAGTATTTTGTTATCTATGTTTTCATAAACCAACTTCATAAAATAACCATCCTGAAAGTGCTCTAGCTGCTACTGGATTATAGATGCACAAGTGCAGGCATGCTATTGTGAAACTGTAGCCTAATAGATAATATTTGGTTACCTAAATAATGGTAAATTGAATAATTAATGATCTAACCAACAAGCTGGCACATGATTGCATAAATCCATAGTTGAGGGAGTCCAATTACAAGCTTACTAGATGAGTGCTCAGCTTAGAAACACTTTAGCACCTTTGAATCCTCTGATCCCTTTGCATTACATTTTTGCCTACAAAGCTACGTTTTAGATGTTTTTGTTTAAGTGTACAGGATATAAACATAAAAAACAATCTGGGAGTGGGGAGGGAAGTATGTTTTTCAGTTGTTTTCTTCACAGATCCCAATCATCCAGATTCACACCAAATAATTTAAACAAAAAAAGCGGCACTCACTCTGTACGGAATGCCCACGCACATGCTCAGTCACCCACATATACATAAATATATACACATAGATTTACTTTAGAAAGCACAAGGATTTGCATTACCAGCATGCAAGCCTCTTCTACGTGAGTTCCTAATACCGTGATAGGAAACTGGAATGTCTGCAATGCTCCATAACATATTTCTGGAAAGCAAGAACATCTCAACTCATGAATTGAGATGTAAAGAATGGCAGTCTTTACATCCACACAAGTATAACACCTTGGTAATGTACATATTTGTAATAAAAAGGCCAACTCAAGTTTAATTTATGAAAAATCAAAAGAAATCCAGCTGTTAGAAATTAAAGTCCGAAATTCTCAGTTCAGGTTTGTTTCCGTGGACACAAAAGCTGCTCCTTTGTTAAAAGATAGAAACAATTCTGTTGAGAGGTCTAGGAGTATTCGAGGTCACGTGTCCCAGTTGCTGTCTTTAAAGGCAATTTTGACTAATCTGAGTTCTAGTTCAAAAGCATCAGGACGGTCTTGTGGGTTGGCAGCCAGCATCTCCTTAATCAGCTGCTTCATATGGGCATTCATCGATTTTTTCTTTACAGGGATGAGAAGTTCCATTTTGGGGTTTTCTAGAAGTGCCTCCCCAACTGGCACAATCTCTGTGCCTTGTTTCACATAGCTCCCCAAAAGTTCTTTCTTCGTCTCAGTGTCTATGAAGGTGATCCTTTCCAACATTGCCCAGATTATAATCCCTAATGCAAAAATGTCTGCTTTTGCAGTGTAATGGCCTTCCCAGACTTCAGGTGCCATGTAGAAGTCAGTCCCACAAGCTGTTGAAAGGAAACATTTATTTACATTGACAGGCTCTTCAGGGTTTTGTCCCAAAGCTGAACATACCTTACTTAACCCAAAATCAGCTACTTTCAGAGTGGGTTCCAAGTCACTAGCATCCACTCTGCTTTGTGAGATCAGAATGTTGTCAGGTTTGAGATCACGATGAATAATCTGATTTTTGTGAAGGAAAGCCAGGGCACTGCTGAGTTGAAGCATGAAACTAGTGTTGGTCTTGCGACTGGGCTTTCGGGACAGCAGGTATTCATTCATATCTCCTCCATCACAGAAATCCATCACAAACCAAAGGTAATAGGCGCTTCTGGGATCAAAGGCTATTTCTCCTTTTAATGAGGTCTCTACAAGCTGTAACAAGGAAGAGAGATTTCACATACCTGTTCAGAAAGCATAATTCATAGAAACAAAGAACTATGAACTGAAAGAGAAAAAAGAAATTAACAGTGTGAAAAGTTACAGGAAAATTAATTTTTAAATGTTGATTTAGTTAACAATCCTACTTATTCTCTGCCTGACAAAGGTCAAATGCCAATTAAGAACTTAGGGCTATGGGGCAAATAACAGTATTTTGAAAGATACTCAAGTGGCCATCACCTTCCCATCTGTTTCAGCTGGGCAGTGTCCTAACCACAGAGTTAGATTCACCCACTACATTTTCATGAAAATACAGTGTTGCAGCAAGTAGTGCAGTGTCAGTTATTTGTCCTCTGCTGATGAAAGATTATGTAATGGTACTCTGATGTTTACTTTTCACTCCATCACCATGAATAAATTCTAGCATGACTATCTATTAACCCAGAAAAACAATCAATACACATAGCTAAACAGCAATAAAAACAAAGGGGTTCCTGCTTGTGCTCGGCCCTTCAAATGTGGTCCCCCACTGCGCCTCTGCCTTTCAAATGTAGTAAGAACTGCCTGGAATAGTCCCGGCTTGCACTGGGTCCAGGTCGCGGCGCCTCTGCCTTTTAAATGTAGGAAGAACTGCCCATGGAGCTCTTACTACATTTAAAAGGCAGAGGTGCAGTAATCAGGACCTAGCGTGAGCAGGGACTGCTTGAGTCCCCACTTGCACCATTTCTCCTGCTATGCTTCTGTTTCCCCTGCCCCCCAAGGAGACAGTGCTCAAGGAAACCAGCTTTTAAACCAGCTCCCCCCAGCACCAGCTCCTGCTCCCCCCCCACCTTGCTGTATCTGATATAGAGGCAGCAAGGGGACAAGCAGCAACTAGTCAAGTAGTGACTCGACTATCCGATAAGCCTAGGCTTATTGGCTAGTCGATTAGTTGCTTACATCCCTACTTTTGTTGAGATTATCTTAAAGTAACCTCATTAACTAGCTATTTTTCCAGATGCATGGAATATATTTGAGTGCAATTTCCAGTTACTGCTTTACATGAAAACTAAATGAAACAACTAATCAGCTTTGTTCTAGTTACACAGCTGTATATGTGCTTCTTCAGCTTAGGTGAGGTAGCCATCAACAGCACATTCTAGAAATTAAGTATTTCAAGCCATCTGTGCTAACATACACCATATACTGGACTAAGAACACTTTGAAAGAATTTAAAAAAATCAAAGCAGTTTCTAATATAGCTTTCTGGGAACACTTTCTGAATTAACAGCAAGGTGGTTCTTCTGAAAAAAGTGAGTGCAAGCCATACGGCAGCTTGAAAGCATTGTTAATATAGCTGTGCTCATAAGGTTGCAAGGTTGATCAGACTGATCAAGGAATACAAATAATATTGTTCAATCTTCATTTTCATGTTTTACCCACTTCTTGTGGACAGTGAAAGTGATGCACCCTGTCATTGGTGAGGAATTTTTCTAGAGCAATGTGTCATAAGAGTACTTTTTTTTTTCCTTCCAGAGAGCCCTACTGAGTCTTCATGGTCTGAACAAAGGTGCCAAATACTATTTGTCCTTCAACATACTCCCTCTGACGGTGGCACAACACCAACAGATAGATCCTCAATAAGTTTCAACAGGCCGTTTCATTGACTTCCGTTTATACCAGAGTATCTGCCCTTGATGCTTCATAATAAGGCAGGCTTCCTTCACTATTTGTGTACTGCATCTGGCTAATTCCGTAGTATTCTATTTTTTGGGTGGGGAGAGAGCATGAGATCTGACGGCTCCCATCTTGACATTTATCACTGTACATGCTATAATAAAGTTACCCAAGCCTCTTTGAAAGTCTAGTTGCAACAGACAATCAACTCCAGCAGTACTCTGTAGATCATCCTTTTTCATCAAACCAAAACAAAGTTTCTTTAGCTCACCTAATTTAAATGTCAACACCATTTGGCATAGCACCAAGTGGCATAGCACTTTCACAATTTTATTCATCAGTCATATCTAGCATTGTCCAATGACTGAATCAAGGTCAACAAAAAGACTGTTAAATTGTGAAGGGCCTTCTTACGTTTGTAGAGCACGATGGGGCCTAAGTCGCTACTGAGCTCTACTATAATATTTAATAAAAAGGACCTGTCCTGGATTTAAAAACAGGAATGGGTGTTTTACATATTTGATCAGCTCTATACAGATTCTGATCTTTAAAAGCAATTGATCTTTAAAGTGATAACATATCACACACACACACACACACACACACACACACACACACACACAGAGTAATAATTTGCTGTGTATTCACTGGATGTGCTAGTCACTCAGCAAAGAGTGACATGTATACAGAGAGAACTCCCACCAGTCACAGTGGATACATTCCTGGCACCACTGCAAATGGCGAAATCTGTGAATACCAGGGGCACTGGCTGCTACAGGGAATTCCCCAATACGAGTTTCCTGCAGCTCCTGGCCACTGCTGTGAGTTCAGGAGCCTTGGACTACTCACTGCTTAATACATCAGAAATCGATCAGAGCCAATGTAAAGACTTTTGCCCAGAACATGCAACAGTGTAAATTTTTCATTTCCTTAAATTGTCAGTGTTATATAATTTTACTGGTGTGACTTTATTAAGTCTGCTAGAGTTGCATGTCTATGAATCCGAAAATCCAGGGAATTCTGTTTAGCAGATGGTATTCAAACATCTAGAGACCTCATACCATCATTTACACTGTATGAAGAAAGAAGCAGGCCAAATCTTCCCCCTTTTCCTGTTCAGCTACAGATCCCATAAAATTATTCCCATCCTCCTTCGCATACCTGTAAATAGAGGGAAGAACTAGAACCATGTGACATCTTCTGTACCATACCATCTTTCTGCAAGATGCACTCCTCCAGATGGATAACATTTGGATGCTGGCTCTTGATACTACTAAGTGCCCAGAACTCACGTAACGCTAGTTCCACATTCTCTGGAGCATGGCACCGAATTTTTTTCACTGCAACCCGTGCAGAGGTCTTCCTGACAAGTGCTTCATACACCACACCGTAACTACCACGTCCAACCTCCCGTATTAGATCGTACTTTGGCTGGCTACTCACCATCTTCAAGGCCAAGGGTTCTGGGGAGGGGGGAAAAAAACATCACATGACAAAAAATCCTATGAATAATGACTGATCTGCTTTTCCTCTCTGAATCAGTTAATTAAGTATCATTTGGGCTAATCACTGTGCTTAAAATCAGGATTCCATTCAATAAACTTAAATAAGATTGTAATGAGCCATTATTTTCAGATGTTACCAATATGAAGAAGCATTAAACTTGTTCAGTAAAGCCACAATTAACGCCAAGAAGGATTTTCAAGTGTTACACTTTAGGCTAGTGATATAATGTTAGCCAGCATTTATCATAACATGTTCACAGTTCAAGCCCACAACATTTCTAGCTTTCACTTGCATTAGGTCAGGCTAAAACTGTTACATCTCACAGCATCTTTTACTTTAACATTTTGTTCAGTATCAGTGGAGTACAGTGCTTCCTTTCCCCACATTTTATAGCATTTTCCAGTAAAGGTACTAGCAGAAGCACATACTTAGTGGATCTTACGCACTGTTTCAAACTACATTAAGTGGAAAGTCACAGACAGCATGGGTAAATGTTTTATGGTGTAGTTTATTAAATGGTTTTCTAGTACCAAGGTAAAGGAGTATTTAAAAAATGTTTTTAATTTATAAAAATTAAATACAATCTGAACAGTCAGTTTAAACTGGGCAAGATATTTAAAAACATTCTACATTGTTTACATTCAAATTCTAGTTTCATTATGAAAGGAAGGAGGAAGGACTAAAACTAGTATGTTCATATTTTAAAAAATGGGAACATACCCAAGATCTTCTTTGCAAGGTTACATACCAGAAAATACAACATTACTCACTAATGCAACCAAGCCAGAAAGGAACACTAAATAGACAGAAAATAAACTTTGGCTATCATCACTGGCCAAGTGGAATGACTTGCAAAAAAACAAAGGACTAAATAGAAAACGAGCAAGTCAGGGTATTAGAATGAAAATGATTTTAGAAGTTAGTATCGCAGGCAAGTTGTATTTACCACAGGAAACCATTCACTAAACACTACTTCGCTGAAGCAAAACTATCAATCAACTTTCAAGTACCTACAAAGCGTGCACCATAAAAGAAATAATGGATATCCGTCTCATGACACCATTAGTGCAGATATATGGAGATGTGGCAGCAACATCTTTTATGTGAGTTTACAATTCTGAATGCATTTAAATATAAATTCCCCACAGAAATGCCAGTACAACGTGAGATTCAGATAGTAATATTTATTCAACCTGCTCCTATATTGTGATATAAGCATATGGAGAACAGTGCAGACTAAATGCTAAGGTAAATTAACAAGAACATACAAAAACAAAGGCACTCGCACACAAAAGAGGCATTAAGTATGGATAGTCAAAAAAACTACATACAATTAGTGTAGTTGTGAAAGAAAGCTATGGTCATTGCAGGCTCAAACAGTAGGGAGCACAATTTACCTTTGAAACATCAGTTTACACAGAAGCAGGTCTATAGGTAAATAAAAGGCTGCGGGGGGGGGGGAAGTTATTTCCAAATTCAACAAGCCCCTCCTCTCACAAGGCATCAGAGCCTATACAATAATCTAATCTAAGCAAACCTCACATCCCAGAAGACAGACTGTGAAGAACGGTAACTGTTAGTCTGTTTCAGCAAACACAAGGAAGTCCTGTCGCACCTTAAAGACTAACCCATTTATTTGGGCATAAGCTTTCCATGCGCTTGAGCCCACTCTGTCAGATTCCTAAATAAGCAGTAACCCAGTTAACCATCAGCGGTGAGGTTAACAGAAATGATGGTGAAAACTGACCCACACAGGAAACCCCAAAACGTGCCCGTTCCATGGTTCTGGTTCTTTAGGCTATAGGAGCAGGGCCTGGACATGGATTGGCTTTTGGGGGGGGGTAGAAGGCTCCCCCTGTATATTTTGTAGTGGCACATTTCACAGCTTCTACCCCGCTCCTCCAGGAGGGCTCTCGGCACAGAGCAGCAGACCCCTAAAGGAAGGGGGTGCTGAGGGACTGGTGGCTTAAATGACTTTTACTGAGGTGTTTCCAGCCCATGGGCTGCCCCAACATTTAAATCAAGTCCTGGAAAAAA